GTCAACCAAGGCAACCAGATTAACAAGCGCCTGTCCGAATACTCCACGATTGAGGTTACATCCCTGCTCTCGGGTTTTGAAAACCACATCAACGCAAATCCACGCGGCCACAACCCTGACCGGTGGATAAATGCGGTGTCTTCTTGCATAGAGCAGGGAAACGTTTCAGCAGCCGTCAGACTCGTCTGCTCGCCCGAGGGCCTGGCAGGAAACACGCCTGAAACTTTAGAAAAACTACGGTTCATACATCCAAAAACACCAACTGACAGGCGTGCTTTTCCTGCGCAGGAACCAACAAGTGGTTGCGTTTCTTCCACCCAGGTGCTCAAGGCCATAAGGTCTTTTGGAAATGGCTCATCCGGGAGTCTCGACGGTTTGCGTCCTCAGCATCTCAAAGACCTACTTTCCGGCCCCCTGCCAATTGACGACCTATTAAATTCCCTAACGAATTTTATAAATTTGGTTCTGTCGGGCGCCTGTCCACCCACGGTTTGCCGTTTTTTTTTTGGAGGCCGCCTGATAGCCTTGAACAAAAAAGATGGAGGAGTTAGGCCAATCGCTGTTGGTAACTGTTGGCGTAGATTGGCGAGCAAATGTGCTTTGAACCTGGTAATGGATGAAATGAGAGCCAAATTTTACCCGGTTCAATTGGGCGTTGGCGTGAAAGGAGGTGCTGAGGCCGCCGTTCACGCCGTTCGAAAATTGGTCACAGACCTCCCCAATCAATGGGGATTTCTAAAAATTGATTTTAAAAATGCCTTCAACGCCATGAGAAGAGATTCAATGCTGGAGGCCGTCAAATGTTTCTGCCCCAGAATATATAATTTCTGCCATTCTGCTTACGCCTCGCTTCTTCGCTTGGCTATCACACCTGGGTGGTTGAATCGTCCGAGGACGTGCAACAGGGTGATCCACTGGGACCACTGCAACAGGGTGATCCACTGGGACTCCCAAATTAAATTTTTTGATAAAAAGTTTTCAGAACTTAAGTTCGCCCTCGAATGAGTGTCTCATCTTTTCGTCCACGACGCCCTGATTATTGTCCGAAGCGCCCTCAGTTTGCCCAAAATGATGTATTTTCTTCGTACATCCAGCTACATTAACCCATCGTTGTTGGGCAGATTTGATGATGTTTTGCGTACCGCCTTGTCAGCCATTTGCAATGTTCATTTGACTGACAGTGGCTGGTCCCAGGCTCAGCTGCCGGTGCGGTATGGTGGTCTGGGGTTACTCAGTGTGGTTCAGTTGGCACCAATCGTCTATAAATCTTCTGCCGCTGCCACTCTTGACCTCCAGTCCGCCTTGCTTTGCCGATTTTGTTGCTGCTGTGACATCCCACCACTGCCGACCACACCTGAAAGCCCTTCACAAGCTCAAATTTTAGATGAGCAATATAAGAAGACTTTTCATGAACTTCTGTCTTCTGGTGTCGGTGCTTCTTCCTTCGCCCGCTTATTGGCTGCAACTAGTGATGTTAGTTGTGGTTGGTTGAGGTCGTGGCCCAACACTTCCGTAGGCACCAGACTCGATGACGAGTCTGTTAGATTTGCCGTTGGTTTCAGACTTGGCCTAAGTATACAAAATAAATATCTGTGTCGTTGCGGCGCGGAGGCGGACCAATTTGGTCATCATGGTTTGGTTTGCCGTTTAGGTGGAGGCCGTCAACTTCGTCATTCAGCTTTGAATGATTACATTTGCCGGCTTTTTTCTAAAGCTTCTATTCCTGTTTTGAAGGAACCATCTGGCATTTCAGTGCAAGATGAAATGCCAGATGGAGAGCTTACTCTTACTCCCTGGAGAGCTGGTAAATGTTTGGCTTGGGATGTTACGGTTCCTGGTACCTTGGCCGAGCGCTACGTTCACCTTACCAGCAAAGAATGTGGTGTGGCTGCAATCAGGGCATCGGACGAAAAAATCAAAAAATATGAACACGCCCTGCCTTCCTTGGACTTTTTGCCAATATGTATCGAGGTCCTTGGACCCATGGACCCCAATACTTCAAAATTTATTAAAACATTGTGTAAAATGGTTGGTGTTCGGTCAGGTGACAACAGAGAGTTCTTTTTTGCAATAAACCACATCTCGTGTTTGTTGCAGCGATTTCTGCGTGTTTGTGTGTCGGAAAATATTAATTTAAACGCCGACGTGTGAGACTAAAGATACATTAAAGTGTTAACCCTTTTAATCAGATGTTTGACTGTTTGGTGTCATTCATCACGATTTGGTTTTAACATACATACATACATACATACATACATACATACATACATACATACATACATACATACATACATACATACATACATACATACATACATACATACATACATACATACATACATACATACATACATACATACATACATACATACATACATACATACATACATACGTACCTACGTACGTACGTAAGTACGTACGTACGTAAGTACGTACATACATACATACATACATACATACATACATACATACATTCATACATTCATACATACATACATACATACATACATACATACATACATACATACATTCATACATTCATACATACATACAGACATACATACATACAGACATACAGACATACATATTTATACATATACACCTGTACAGTGTACACATACACACTTAAGTGTGTGTTATTTCCGTTTTGTGTGATCTTGAAGATATGTTAAGTGCGTTATAGTGTATGTATACTATACACGTTTATTTTATAGTGCATGTATATGTTTTTGTACTTTTGTATGTATAAGTTGGTGTGTTTGTTTGGGTGTGTTAGTGTTGAGAAATATTGCCTGTATATAGATAAATCATTTTTTTTCATTATTTTTTTTAAATTCTTTTTTATTCATATCGTGAAAAAGTCATTTAATTTATGTAACTTTTATCGATGTGGTTTTAAAAGAACATTGATGTTTTATTCATTTTTTTGTTCCTAATAATAATAATAATAATAAACATTTTAATGGAATGATGGTTATCGTAACGGATTCTGCACCTGTAAGATTCTAAATTTTTAAAGAATAGTAAAAATTTACAGTCTGCAATGTATGTAATCTATCTTTTTGAAGTTGGAAAAGTTGGATGAGATAGGTAATGATCTGATAACTTTGAAAGAAATCATCAAAATATGCACCTACAACAAAATGTCTAAACTTACCGATGTATGTATCTATATATATACATATGTATGTATGTATGTATGTATATATATATATGTATTTATTAATATATATATATATATATTATATAATAATATAATAATATATATATTTATAACTAACATTACACACACACACGCGCATACCTACATACGTCCTTTCATCAATAAATCAGCAATATTGTAACACAGGCATTTGCATTCTCATAAATTAAATCAACAAAAGAATATAAAACACACCTAGATATAAATAAATACGAATAAATAAATAAATATATTTATCTGCGTTTGTGTGTCTGTCTGTGTGTGTCTGTGTGTGTGTCTGTGTTTGTCTGTCTGTGTGTGTCTGTGTGTTTTTGTCTGTGTGTGTCTGTCTGTCTGTCTGTTCTGTGTGTGTGTTGTTTATGTTTATGGGCGTGTATATGTATATTTGGAGTTATTTATTCAAATGCGTGTATACGTATAACTTATAAATGCTACAAGGTAACACGTGTAGATGTACGTATTTGCATAGCAGGCCGAGTAATAAAACACAATCCGATGGAACTTTTCTGTCCATCTCCAATGGAATAATTACTTTTTTGCTTAAAAAAATTGCGCGTTCAAACTTACATGAGTTAGTATCGTGTGTCATTATTGTTGTTGTTGTTGTTGTTGTTGTTGTTGCTGCTGCTGCTGTTGTAGTTATTATTATGATTATTGTTGTTATTACTATTACTGTTACAATTATTACTCTTTCATGACTTCTTCATCTGCTTATTTATAATTATTTAAATTAATTGCGTTAATTTAATTATCAATTCATTATTTTATTAATATTATCATTATAATTGTTTCTATTAATTATATTATTGTTATTATTATTATTTTGTTATTACTATCAATTTCTCAGTATGCTTAATTTAATATCGACACAATTGAATTATATTATGTATATTATTTCTATTATTTTCATATTTTAAGTAACATTTTATGGATGTTATTGTGTTATTGTTGTCATTGTTGATGTTATTGGGTTTTTTTTTCTTTTATATGTTTAAAGTTGTAAAGTTAGATTAGGTTTTAGGTTGCGTGTGTCATGTTTTAGTGACGTGCGACCCGAGTTCGAAGCCGTCTGCTCCAAACTTCTCTAGATCAGTTATTTTTCAAATGTATGGTACTTTCGTGCATGTGTGTGTGTGTGTGTGTGGTGTGTGTATGCGTGAGTGTGTGTGTGTTTGTGTGTGTGCGCGCCTAAGTTTGTATATAAGTTTGCATAAATGTGTGTGCAAATTTGTATAAATTTGTATGTATGTTTGTATATATTATAATTAGTATATAAGTTTCAATGTTTGTGTACACTAGTAAATAAGTTTGTTTGTAAATTTGTATATGTTTTTAGCTGATACATACATTTGTATGAAAACTTTGTATCTTTTTGTATGTCTGTGTTTAAAAAACCTACACGTGGAATAGTATCGACTGTGAAATTAAATTAAAACTGACTGAACTAAGTAGGCAACATTACAGATGGTGTCAATGAATTCAATTCCTTTAAGCTTTGTGAGATATATTTCCTTTTTTTTATTACCTTGTTTAATTATATTTCATTGTCTATTTATAGCAGTATAAATGTTATTAACATTGTTAATGTTGTTGTTGTTGTTATCATCATTGTTATCATCTTTATTATCATCGTTATTATAAGTAATCACTGTCATCATCATTATCATTATTATCATCTTCAATTATCATTGATATCTATTCCCCATACTCACCATCTATCATTTTACATTCAATAGATACATTCTAGATGATTGATTGCATATTTTATGATATCCTTTATTTTACCTAAACTTATTATCAAAATAAATTTGATTGAGGTTGATTTTACAAGACGTCAAATAAATTAAAGAGTTTCTTTACGATACATCCAAATAACATAATTATCAAAGATTGATTGAACTTTAGATGAATAAATGATTGAATGGTTGATAAAAGATTGATTGAATGAAATGGATGGATGAAAAAATAAGTGAATGAATTAATAAATAAGTGAATGGATGAATAAATGAATGAATACATAGGTAAATAAATAAATGCTTGAATGAATGAATGAGTAGATATGTGATTTTACTCTCACCTAATTTTCTATTTGAAATAATAGCATTGTTACAACTGTTCAAATGAAATTCATAACCGTATAAATTACATATTTGCGTGTGCGTGTGATGTGTATGTGCAAGCAATTATTTTACTGCTCAATTGTTTGAGCGTTGTTGCTATTGAATCATTTGTGTCATCTGTATGTGTGTTTGCTCGTTAAAATAATAAAAATTATTTATTTATTAATTAACTCGTCCATCTATCCAATCTTTCATTTATTCATTTTTTTATTCATTTAATTATTTTTTTATTCATTCACTTATTCATGTATTTGTTCATTCAGTCACTCATTTATTCGTTCGTTCGCTCGTTCATTCGTTAATTCGTCCATTCATTCATTTATCTAGTTGTTTATTTGTTCATTCGTTTGCTCATTGTAAATAATAAACTGTTCATTCAAACGTTTGTTCATTATAGCACACCTCCATTCATTCGTTCATTGATTGATTCATTCGTTTGTTTATTTATTTATTCATTAATTCATTCATTCATTCTTTTAGTAGTTTTAGCATGCGTTTATTCAATCATTCATTCCTTAATTCATTCACTCATTCAAAATAAATGTAAAATATGTAGGAATGTTTTATCGATAGGGCTGTTCAAAAGATAATTTTTATATTTTCATTTGTAATGAGATCCATATCGTAGGTGTCTCAACGACATAAAAGGTTTGAGAACCAAGCTAGGCAGTATTTGTAAAATGTTTCACAGGTGAATGAACCTATGAAGGAATGAATGAATGAATAAATGAATGAATAAGTGAGTGAGTGAGTGAGCGAGCGAACGAACGAACGAACGAACGAACGAACGAATGAATAAATGAATGAATGAATGAATGAACGACTGATTGAACAAATAAATGGGAAAAATAATTTAATGAACGAAAAAACGGTAAATTAAAGAAATAAAATAAAAACTGCTTAATCAATTTATAGAATTTTCGTATAGTTATTGTTTCGCCGCAATGTGTTGTCTGTTATAAGTAACTGACTCATTCGTGGGCTTCGTTAGTCTTTGTTTTACATATTATTCTTTTATTATTGTTATTTTTATTGTTATTATTATTATTATTACTATTAGTAGTATTATTAGTAGTAGAAGTAGTAGTAGCAATAGTAGTAGTTGTAGCAGCAGTAGTAGTAGCAGCAGCAGTTGTATTATTGATATTTTTTACAACTCTCTTGATTCAGATCCTCAAAATATGTTGACAATGTCTTACATGTTACCCTGCCAGCCAGCAGCTTATCAACAATGCGACAAATTTTCGCAACAGCAGCAACAACAACATCAACAATATAAACAGATGGCATTTAATCACAACAACCATCCGCAACATTGTCGACCGCGACATCAACAACAACATCAACAGCAACAACATCAACAACAGCAACAACATCAACATCAACAGCAACAACTGTCACAACAACATCAACAACAACATCACCCAAAAGTACATATTTGACTTGTTATCTTGATTTTTTTTCTTGTTTTAATTAAACGACAAACATTTAAGAATGGAAATAACAAAAATTATAAAAAATTGCCGCAGAAATGAGAAAAGAAAACAAAGTTTCAGCAGAGGCAGCACCAGAAGGAGAACCATAAAAAATAATACAGTAAAAAGATAAAAAGACAAATAATTTTTAGCCGCGCCACTGGCAGTAGCAGTAGTACTAGTGGAAACTGTAATGGTACTAGCAGTAACAGCAGCGGCAGCAAAAGCCGTAGAGACTGCAAAAAGGGGGTTGTTTTAGCTAGGCTAGTATTAGCACACTACTGCTGTCAAAAAAGAGTACCTTTTATTTAAAAAATAGGAGAGTAAGAAAAAGAAAACAGAAAAAACGGGCAATATAGAGAAACAGAAAGATTGGAGAGAGGCAAAAGAAAAAGTGCAGAAGTAGCAACAAAAAGAGTGCAAGAGAGATAGAGAAAAACACAATAACGAAATTAAACTAAGATGTGACGTTCATGGCGTTCATATTTATTGCGTTCATTTCTGCGCGCTGAACCATTATTAGACTCAAAATGACACAGCTTTGTACGGCAGAAACATTTAACAGCGGGTTGTACTTAGACACACACACGCACATACACACTCGCACATACACACACACACGCACACGCACACACACACGTATTAGAATGGTAGCAACAGAGCAGTGGCAGCCAGAGACGTTGCCAAGGTGTGGCTTTGGGTTGAAGCCCCCCACAATAGTAATTCAGCAAGGGTTGAGTCTACATTCAACAAAATGGATAAAAAATTTTTGACAGGAAGCTGTTTCAGCGTCCACATGCCATTAAAATTGTAAAACTATGAGCAAAACAAGTAATTTTAATAGCAAAACTTACCAAAACATGAAAAAAAATCGCCAACTTTTTAAACAAATTTATGTTCCCACACAAAATATTTTTAGCTGCGCCTGTGGCAGTAGCAGTATTACTGGAAGAAACAGTAATAGTACTGGTAGTAATGGCAGTAGTAGTGGTGGCGGCAACAACCGTAGTGGCTGCAAAAAAGTGGTTGTTTTGGTTAGGCTAACCATTAGCACACACACTACTGCTGTCCAAAAAGAGAGCTTTCCACAAAAATTCATTAGTTTAAAAAGTTAAAAATCTTGATTATTTTATTATCAGTAGTAGTTTTAATATTAGTAGTAGTAGTTACTGTGTGGTGGTAGTAGTGGTAGTAATAGTAGTAGTAGTAGTGTGGTGGTGGTGATGGTGGTAGTAGTAGTAGTAGTAGTAGTGTGGTGGTGGTGATGGTGGTAGTAGTAGTAGTAGTAGAGGTAGTAGTAGTAGTAGAGGTAGTAGTAGTAGTAGTAGTAGTAGTAGTAGTAGTAGTAGTAGTAATGGCATTATTATTTTTATGAAAAAAAAAGAATAAAATTTTATAGAGAAAAATTTAAGAACAACAAAATTGATAATTGCAATCGTCACAGCAACAACAACAACAATAACAGCAATAACACTAATTATAGGTGTGCAAAAATGTAATGATGTGATTGAATGCGACGATGCAGACTTAAGCACGCTAACTGTATTGTTACGAAATATCTAAGCGATCTGCACTAAAATTTTCATGCTAAAATTTTCACTTGCTGGTGTGTGTTTTTGTGCGTGTGTTTATGTGTGTGTGTGTGTGTGTGTGTGTGTGTGAAAGAGAGAGAGAGAGAGAGAGAAAGAGAAAGAGAGAGAGAAAGAGAAAGAGAGAGAGAAAGAAAGAGAAAGAAAGAGAGAAAAAAATTTTGTATATATTGTTGTGTTGTCTGGGTAGATTTAATTATTGATTCGTATATTGATAATATTTTTAAGGACTGCATGTTATTTTGTCATTTCGTCTAACGTGAACGTTGATTAAATTTTTAGGAGCGCAAGATCGAAAACGCTGGAAGAATTGTAGTGAAACAACATCATCAACAACAACATCATCAACAACAACAACAACAACATCAACAACAACAACAACAACAACATCAACAACAACATCAACATCAGCAACAGCTTGAGAAACATCACGAAAAACAGCAACAGCATTTTTCAGACGACATTGCTGATGACAATAACACCATCACGACGTCTTGTGATCAGTTTGTAGATAATAAAAGTTTCACAAAAGACATCAAACATGACATTAATAATGATAATAATAAAAATAATATTAAAAATGACAATAATAATGACGCCAACATTGATGATGATGAAAATGACGATGACGAAAATAATAGAAATATCGACGATGATAATGAGAATGATGCTAACGATTACACTGATGAGGAGAATGATGAAACCATGGAAGTTGAACCAAACACGACAACTGCACTACATTCCACTGACTGTAATTCCACTACTGAAGCTGCAACTACTTTTCCAGCCACCACTACAGCTGCCTCTATTACCGCTAATGCTACTTCCAGAAGTACTACTACCAATATTTATAGCACCACCACAACAAACACATGCACGCCATCCAAGCCAGTGAACAAAGTCATCATCAAAGATATCCCAGCTCGCTTCAAGAAACTTTTAAAAATGGCATCAGACAAGGCAGCCGCTCAGCGGTTGAGAGTGGAAGGAGTTCCTCTCTTCAAACAGATGATCACTCCATTCATCGTGCACAACTCCGCCGAGGCTCAGCGAGGAATTTTCGAACCTTCCCTTGTGCAGGCAGATGTGCAGCCGACTCTCCACGCACAATTTGCAAATCCAGTTTGGATGCCTTCCTACAGCTATGATTCGAAGAAACTTGAAGAGAACTCTGGTTTGTTTGTTGCTGGGTCCGTTGAAAATTCTCATCAACATGTTGGCGATTTTTTCAACCAATCCTGGCAGCAACCAGCTTACCAACAACCACAACATCAATCCCACTCGCAAAACGAGCCTATAAATAGCAACTTGCTTTGTTGCACCAAACCATATGACAACCATCAACCTCTACAAACTAATCAACTACAACAACAAATCCAACCAAATCAACAACATGCACAATACCACTTGCATAGCAAGACATCACAAATTATCAATAAAGAAGCAATGAAAATTGACTACCCACTAACAACACAGCATCAACAACAACATCAACAACAACATCAACAACTTCTATATTATTTGCCTTATAACTTGCCATATCCTTACACAACATGTAATGTCAGCTGCAACTTCTATAACATCAACAACACTAAAATTGATCCATTCAAGTTACCTGACATCAACAACAACATGAATAACAACATTAATTACGTTGTTAACGGCGAATTCTATGCATACGACATACAACAACTACATCAACAATATCAACAACAACAACAACAAAATCATCATCAACATTTCCATCAACAGCCTCAAGAACGCCATATTGAATTCCAACAAATAATTTTCCAACAACATCAACATCAACAATTTGCACCAGTCAATTCAGCCTGTCTTGACTAGCCTATGATATTATAACCATAAAATGATCTACACCAATAGATTTATGTAGTGTTTAGATATATATGTAAGTATGTGTGTATGTAATGATGGCGAAGGCGATGAGGATGATAATAATGATGATGGTGATGACGACGACGATGATGATGATAATGATGATACAAGATGAATATTCATATTTTCATCCAAGAATATCAAATATTCAGTAGCGAATTGTTTGTTTAAAAAAAAATTTTCACGGAGTTCAAGTAATGCAAATTTTAAGATCTGCAGACGTTTTCATTGGAAAACTTGAAAACAATTTTATTTCAATTCACGTTTGAATCTGCAAAAGAATATGTTTCTACAATGTTTCTGTTCGATTTAATTTTTTGTATGTTTTTATTTATGATTGTATGGATGGTTGGTAGGTTTGTTTGTCTTTTTGAATGTATGTTTGTATTTTTTGCATATATGTTTGTTTGTATTTATTCATGCATGTTTGTTTGTATTTACTCATGTTTGTTTATTTGTAGGCTTGTGTTTGTACACGTATAGTTGGTATTTTGGCGCATATAGCTGAATTTTTCTATGTATGCTTGTTATTATTTTGTATTTTTGTATGTTTGTCTGTCCGTTTGTTTTTTTTTGTATGTCTTATATGCATGTTTGTTTTTTGGCATGTATGTTTATTAAAGTTTGTATGTAAGTTCACATGGTTGTTTAACGCTTTATTCCTTCGTTTATGTTGAATTGATTGCTAAAGTGCATTAAAATTGTTTGCGTTGATATATGTCGCCATATTTCTGATGGGATATATAAATTTTGTTAGCCTTTAATAATTATTTTTGCATTGATTTGAAGAAAAAATTAATTGGCTGATAATAAATTATGCACGGTTTAACATTGTTTCATTAATTCATTTTGTAAGTGTTGATCTATAGCGTTCTTCAGCTGACGTTGATTATGTGTAAATATTATAAATTAATTGCTCGTTTCATAAGATTTTCACAGATTTCATTAAATATTTTAACTTCAAGTTAACACACATTTTTTATGTTATATCATTTTGTCACTCTACGTGTGTCTTTATTTGCATGTGTGTTTGTATGTTTGCTTCTATTATCTATGTATTGTTATATTATTGCAAATTATTTTAAGCGTATTTTTGTGACAGTGTATATATGTTTGTGTATTTGTATTTGTGTGGTGTATTGCGTGTGTTGTGTGTGGCTGTAGATGTGTGTGTTTGTGTACGTGTGTGTGTATGTATTTGTGTGTGTGGCTGTGTGTGTGTGTTTGTGTGGCTGTGTGTGTGTGTGTCAGACAAGATTATTAGCTAGTTTTACGTTAGCATTAACATTTTTTTGAAAAATAGCAAGAAAGAATTGGTAGAGAGAAAGAGATAAAGAAAGAAAGAAAGAAAGAAAGAAAGAAAGAAAGAAAGAAAGCAAGAAAGAGAGAGTGAGAGATAAAGATTATTTACTGTAAACACAGAGAAACAGACTTCCATAAGTTCGATCGAGTTAATCTTTATTTTTTCGTATAATCGATTCTAGCTTTGAAGCATTTTGTTGTACTTTTCTTATCTTTTTTTCAACGAAAATATATATCTATTTCATTAAACCAGCTGTCCAATTTTAATTTAATTATTTTTTTTCTTATTCTGTAATTAATTATTAATCAATTAATCAATTAATCGATAATTTTTTGATATTTTAGAAAGAATATTATCGTTTAATTAAACGGTGAACTGTAAAATAAAGTTTATTTGAAAAGGATATAAGTACAAAAATTACGATGAAATAAAAAATGGTGTTTGTCGTGAATCGAGACTTTGAAAAATAATTAACAATTAAATAAAAATTATTCGGAAAAATAACCAGAATTTTTTAAAGTAGAATAAGAAAATTTTTATTCGATCGCCTGTCTGTTTAAATGCTTTTTTGACGCTCATTTAAACTGAGTTAAGTTATGGGGTGATGCTTTTGACGATGAGGAAGATGATGATTATAATGAGGATGACGACGACGATGATGATAAATTGATAGTGATGATGATATATTGATGGTGAGATACCAGATGATCAGAGAAGTGAAATGATAATATTTTTGGTGATAACGATGATAATCGTGACCGTGATGATTAAGATGATGATGTTAAACAGGATTGAGATGATTGAAATGATTGAGATGAAGATGGTAAATCCTTGTCATTACGATCAAAATGATGATTATCGATGAAGATCAACTGTTTTTATCGTGATTGTAATGATGACGATGATAATAATAATGACAATGATGATGATTTTGATGTTGGCGATGGTTGAAGTGACTATCATATTAGATAAATTTGCAGTCAGATGATAATAATCTTAATAATAAAATACAAAAAAATGATGAGAATAAGCATATCAGATGATGTTAAAAATAATCACGACAATGTCAATGATGATGAAGATGATGATGAAGGCAACAATGGTAAGGAAGAAGATGACGACGATGCAGTTGAGGATGATGATGACGACGACGATAATGGTGCTAAGAGTTGACAAAAGGCAGATGTATTATCCCATTGTAACGCCTCTTGTTAGCTTCCCGGTCAGATTGATGATGATGATGGTGGTGGGGATGATGATGATGACGACGACGATGATGATGATGATGATGACAAAATCGACGATGATTATCATTCTTATTCTTTATATCATTTTTTTAGGCTCTTTAAATGATGAAAATGATGACGATGATTATGGTGATTTTGATTGTGATTGCTTTTGTCCTTGATGATGATGATGATGGTGGTGGTGGTGGTTATGATGGTGATGACGGTGAGGATGGTATCAGTAATGATCGTGATGAGGAAAAAAAGATGACGAAGTACATTTAAATTATTTTATGAAGACTGTAACATGACAACGATGAAGACGATGAAGATGTTTTTTATAATAGTAATAATAATGATGATAATCATGATGATGAAGATGACGACGATGATGAGGAAGATGATGACTAAGGCGATAAAATGGGGATGATTTAAACGATATCAAAGTGTAAGCTTCCGCCCAGTTCCGAAGGATAAACTCGTTTGTATGTACGTATGTATGTATGTATGTATGTATGTATGTATGTATGTATGTATGTATGTATGTATGTATGTATGTATGTATGTATGTATGTATGTATGTATGTATGTCTGTATGTATGTATGTCTGTATGTATGTATGTATGTATGTATGTATGTATGTATGTATGTATGTATGTATGTATGTATGTATGTTTGTATGTATGTTTGTATGTATGTGTGAAAAATTAATAGGAAGCTAACTAACGCGGAACATGCTGTGATTTTCATCAATAATTGCATCTATATATATATAGATATTTTTTAGTTATATATAATTAATTTTAATTGTTTGACAAATGGTTTTATATTAAAGTTTATTTTTTGTTGTATGTTATATTTTGATTCTGTAATAGTTATTAAAAAATAATAAAAAGAATAAAAGTATTTAATAATTAATTATTTGAAGTTAATAATCTTAATAATAATTTTTTTATTTTTTTTTGTTGGTTTTTTAACGTTGTAGTTTATGAAGGGATTGAGAAGGGTGAGTTTGTCGAGTTTCATTTATATTCTATCTCTACATAATATATGTGGTACTGTATGTATGTTTGTTTATCTGTATGTTTGTTTATTTGTATGTTTGTTTGTTTGAGTGCATGTGTGTGTGTGTGTGTATGTGTGTGTTTTTGTATAGAAGTATGCATGTATGTATGTATGAATATGTCTTTATTTACTTAACTATTTTATTTGCGAGCCTGTGAATGTATGTGTGTGTGTGTGTGTGGTGTGTGTGTGTGGTGTGTGTGTGTGTGTGTGATTGTAAGTAACTCTGTTTTTATTATTTCAATTAGTGATCTATATTTAAGTTCTCAAAAATAAATTCTGTGCATGCACCAAGCGTAGAGCAAAAACAACATAAACAATAATAATAAATAACAAAAAAATAATAAAAACAGCAACATTAACAACAATAATAAATATAACAATAGCAGCCGTGACATTAATAAAACAATTAACACTTAAAATCACACAAACAATAGACTCATTTTTTTCATCAACAACATCAATAACAACAATGAAAATAACTGAAACAACACTAGAATAATAATAACTACGTCAACAACTGCAATAACATTAATAACAACAATGACCAAACCCATACCATCAACCCACTAATGCGAAAATCCACAACATTAACATTAATATGTTGACAAGTTGTACAATGATAATAATTGCAACAACAACAACAGCAGCAGCAGCAATATCATGCTGACAAATTGTTACAATAATGAGAACTCTTTCAATGGTCGAAAACTGATGATGAATATAAAAATGATTAAAAACAAATAAAAAAAATCAAACTAGCTCTCATAATCCGTCATTTTGGAATGAGTAAAATGATGATAGGGTAGTTTAAAAAGTTGGTTCACGCGTTTTTCCGTTACAGTATAGAGCGTATGATGACGATATGACACTATTAATAAGACAATGTCGAAATTGATCAGTTCGTTTTACATTGATAGAAGATAAATAAAAACCTATTGGTGAGATTTCAAAAGTGTCGAGCACTTCAATCGCATCCTCGCTGGAGACACAGCTGCTTATCGGTAGAGATAACCAATCTTTTACCTTTTCTGTTACAAGACGGTCCAGAATGTTCCCTATCCAGGTCGGTGAAATATTGTAGGTACGGTGTTCAAAGGTTATTTGAGTTGGAACGAAGCGTCTGAGAATTTCCAGCTTCCAATGAACTGTTGTGTCCAATCTACCAATCTAGTGCAGCGTAGCTTTAAGCCTATTGCAGAGTTGATCTTTTCCCTTTAGCGTTTTTCATTCGTAGTCGTAAATCCTCCCCAATTATTTTTATTATGTTATGTTTATTATGAGGATAATAATCATAATAATAATTACAGCAATAACATGCTGACAAATAGCTACAATACTAAAGATAATTACAACAACACTAACATTTACATGTTGACGAATAGTTACAACAATAATAATAATAACAACAACAACATTTATTACATTAGTAATTTTATTAACTAAAATTTCAGAAATTTAAAAAAATTCTACATTGAATGAATGTGCTGTTTGTGATGATGATAACAAGTGATAATATTAATAATAATGAGGATGATTAAGGCTATGATGATAAAGATGATTAGAGTATGTGAATGATGATGATGACGACGAGGACGACGACGATGATGATAATAATGATGATGATGATGGTGGTGATATTGATATAAATAAAAATATGGATGATGATGATGATGATGATGGTGGTGGTGATATTGATATAAATAAAAATATGGATGATGATGATGATGATGATGATGATGATGATGATGATGATGATAATTATGACAAAATAATGGTAGTGACGACGATGACGATGTTAGTAGTGGAGATGGGGAGGATGATGATGAGGATGAGGAAAATGGTGATGAGGAGGAGAAGGTTAGTGATG